CATAGAATTTAGTTTTATCATATCTGAAAAGCAAGGGTCTGTGGTAGTTTTTGACTGTTAAGACAAAACCATCTTTTTCTTTCAATGAGGACACATGTAAAAACTTGGTTGTATTTTTTTAGCAGATTGTATCTGAAGACATTGAAACCTTTCACCAAGAAATTAACTGAGGTGGTTTAAAGAATTACTTGGGAATGTTTTGGTTTAGTCCCTCTTTCAACAGTTTGTCCATGTGAATTTTTAAGGAAAGTGGAAAAAAATAAACAAAAGCACATCTCTGTAAAATTCATAATACAGTCTCTGAGCTAGAATTGTCTTCGGAAAACAGTAATACAGGAAACTCTTTATGCAAGATGGAGTATGTGACTTGTAGAGTTTGATTTTTAACTTAATCTTAGACAGGGTAAAATGTTCCGCAGCATCCAATATGGAACAAAAAAAAAAAACCAACCCCAAGACTTGTTTTCTTCTTTGTCATCATATTAAAGATAAGCAAAAGCGGAGGATTTTTTTGTTGTTGTTGCTATGGTGGTTGTTTTTAATACCACAGGTGTTGGTAAAATAAATTTTTCTCTCCAGATTATTGATGAAAGAAAGTGAAGTGTAAAGCAAAACTGTGGGAATTGAAGAAGTGAAAGCCTAGGGTAATTTGGCCTGTGCACATAGATTTAAAGGCTATATCTTGCTACTGGAGAATAAACTTGAAGGAAGGAAAGTTAAAACTCATTATTCTAGCACTTAGGGGGGAAGAAGATAGAAAATGGAGCTCATATTAAAGGAAGAAATCATTTAAAAAGTATGAAAAGACTATGGGGACAATGTCAATTTACTGTTTCTAGATATTCTTAAGAAATATTGTTAAATTCAGACAAACATGTAAAAATGAAAAAAAGAAAAAACTCACAGACCTTGAGCACCAAATAATTCTATATTGGTTGGCTACTTGGCAACAGTGTATTTTGCACAGTGGGTAAACTTCCAGAGAAAAGCAGTTGTTTTCCAGAAACCCTGTATCTACTTCATCGGTAGCAGATACAACCCTGTAACTCTTCTATTCTGCTCCCTGTTTCTGAGTATATAGCCAGTGGATTGTATCTTGAAGAACGGAGAGGTAAGCCAGGCAGTGGTTCCAGATCAGTAGGACTGGCTCTTAGCAGCTGGTTCCAGCTAAACAGGAGCTGTCCCATAAGCTGCTGTGATGGTAACCAGCTCTGGGGGTGATTACATGTCCCACAGAACTCGGGTAGTTCCTCTCATTCACGTCACCTGACCTTGCACTGCATAATTTGATAAAGAAACTAAACATTAAAAAAGAAAAAATCTCTGCCCTCTAATCTTATTTGATATGTTACTGTGTAATTGTGCTTTAACCTACGTAGGAGTCAGTATGACATAATCAAGGTGTTGAGGTTTCTTTTCTTTTCTTTTTTTTTGAGTTTAAAGGATTCACCCTCCTCCAAAAGATATGGCTGAAGTTGTTGCTTTCAAACTTAAACATTCTTACCTCTTCAAAAGGCTGCTTCTTATTTTGGTTGAAGTGACTGTCTCTGTGCAAAGTAGGGATATTAGAAGGATTTCGAAACGAGTTGTAATGATGTCTTTAACTATCAAACTGGGACCACAGCGTTAGTCACTGCAATCTTCAGTAATTCGTAATTCAAGGACAGTTTAGGAATACATAACAAAAGAAAACACATCTTGTAGAAAATTGCAGAACTTCAGATGCAGATGCTTTTTGCACTCATGAGCAAGTTCATTCCTCCCCTCCCCCGGAGGACACAGAGGGAAAACAGCAGGCACCAGCCTGATATCATCTTTGTTCCCTGTCTATTTTTAAGTTGCTAAAGCAGCCAAAGGTGATGAAGCTGATTTTTCTGGTTGCTTTCTTCAGGGACAGCAATACAGGAGTGGTATGCAGAAGGATTCCCCATCTCAGGGAAAGCCTCTCTGCACATGCATAGGAGCAGTTCTCTTGCTTTTCTGTGAGGAGAAAGTGGACTATTTTTTAAAGAAAGCGTGAGAAATATCAAGTTAGATCCCATTCTTGAATACACATTTGTTAGCACAAACCAGGGTTTCTCTACACAGTTGTTCTGCACCCTGAGGTTCCCTATGGCTAAACATAATGCACTGAGATGGTGATTTACTCCAGAAAACTCCTTTGTGCACAGTACTTACCTAAGCAGTAATCTATCTTCTTTGCCTCCATTTTCTGTAAAAATAAGCCCTCTACTCTTGCCTCAATCATATCCTAAGCCAGAGAGGAAGGTCCTCAGACACTTGTAGGATCTCATACTTCTGCTCCCCTTGCACCTGTCTGGTAGCAAACCCCAACACACTGCACCCCATGGCACTGAGGCATTTCAGAACAACACAGTTTGTTTCAATCTCCTGCTTCCTAAACTCTGTTGTTTTCCAGCAGAAGAGGATGTGGCAGCAAGGAAGACAGTCTTGTCAAGGCTGGACCTTTCCCAATGCAAGTCATAGAATGAAACCTGGATTTATTAAGAACAATGGAAGTTCTACCATTGACTCTGGACTTAGAATTTTAGTTTAGCCTCTCCTCCTCAGCTGACAGGTTACTATGTTGTATCACTATTACTGATGGAGCACACTGCAGAATTCTACTCATCTTCACTAAGGATAAGTTGGAATTGGGCCCAAAATTCCTGCTTTTTGCCCTTGACATCATCTACTTGTCTTTTTCAAGAAAAGGGTCTGTTTATTCCCCTAACATTTAGGAGAACTAATATAATGAACATTACCTGTGCTTGTCCTGATCTGAGTACTAGAACTGTTAGTGTACCTTACAAATACTGCCTGTGGTAAAGTAAAGCTAGTTGAGATGAGTACACAAAAGAATATTAAAAATATCAAAGACAAATAACTACTAAACATTAAACAAAGTCTTGATAATTTGCTCTCCAACCTGTATGAGACAATGAAAGTGCTCTGGCTACCTATTCATGTATTAAAGTGTTGTTCAGCAGAGGAGGATGAAGATAAAGAGTTCCCTATATTTTCCCCCTTATTTGTGTTTCTTCTTGATTGGTTTAGGAAAAAAAAGATAAATGAATTCTGTTACTATGGTGACTGTGTTCTGAGTATCAAGACAACTTGTCTAAATGCATCTTCATCATGTCGTAACCTATCTTTTAGGATGAAAAGCACATCTTGGAGTGTTTTACCCTTCCTAGACACAAAAGTTTTTTTTCCAATTCAGCCTCCCCCATTTTTTTTAAAAATCATCATACTCTTTGTTGTTCTTTCTAGTTCAAACTTCATTATAAATACACCTGTAATGGTTTTCAGATTCTGTAATATTTAATGATGTTTACAAAGTTCAGTCCTCTTACTGGAGATGAAGACTTATGGTCCAATTTGTAGGATTTGAGGAGAACTCTGTGAACTTGTTCTTTTCCTCTGTGGGTCTTCTAGGACACATAACACTCACAGATCATAAGATCAACTGTGGTTTGAGATATCCCTGCTAAGCCATTATTACTCTCGGGTGCGACCACCTCATTGAAAACCTTCACTGGTTCTGTGTGGACAAACAGCTGTAAGGAGCCTATTCCTGCACCACTTGCAAAGGATTTCTGTGTCCGTTTGTTAACAAATGCAGAGCTGGACACTCCTTTCATGGGCTCTTCTGAGTTGTAGGCAGTCTGTAATATGAGAAGCTGATAGCAAGTCAAACTGCCAGCTGTTGAGCATATATACTCTACTCTGAGAATAAATAAATATTGGGTAGTTAGACCTAGCTGATTTCATACCTCATTATGCATAGCTGATATCATTCCTAATACAGCAGAAGTCAGAGTTTACTAGTTCTAAACTGTATTGTCCATTCTGCTCTCTTCTCCTTGTCATTACTGGCCTTAGATACTCAACTTGTGGATGTAAATAATCAGTCTCCTATTCTTGCTTCAAATCATGACCTGCACCATGTGGAAATCACCACACATTCCAAAGACCACTATGGTATTGCATGAGTAATTGCGGGATTTATGTTAGAATTCTAACATACCTGGAGCTCAACATGCTTAGGAAGGAGGCTAAAATACACATGGTTCACAACTGTTATTTACTGTATTTGTCCTCAGCTCTGAACTGTAAACCACATTGCATCATTACTACACCAAATAACAAGAAAAATTGTTCTTCTCTTACTGGCACTTCCAGGAGTGTGACAGTAACATGCCATATGCTGTAGGCATCAGTAAAAACTCTACTGCACACAGCAAATACATGCCCCAAGAAAGTAAGGTTTTGTCAGAATTATTTGTCAGTCAGAACCTTAACTTACTTTGAACAAGATGCAGTTTGTTTCTTCAAATTGGTTCTTGTAGGTTTTTGCCAGCAGTGAAAACCTGATTTTAACATCCATGGATATCAAATGAAGTTGTAGGGGCCAGTAACTGTGTCTACAGTTTTTATTAACTAATATAATAGGATTAGGAATTAATCCTCACATCCTATTTAAATGTAGAGAAGTAAAAAAGGGATGGTATTAGAAAGGTACTTACACTCCCCTTATTAATTAAATTCCTTCTTAACAGTGAATATTCAGGTAAAACCCAGTGATCACAGTATTAGTTTTAACGTGTTTATTTAAAAGTAATTCAACTATCATTTACAAGCAAACATGACACAATTTATGCAGGAGACTAGACAAACAGACTACCAAAAGAAATAATTCACAGCATCGATCTACTCAATACAGTAACCAGTAACTAGGTTTTTTTGCTGACGGATTAAACACTGGAGCAAAAAATTGTTCTTTTATGAAGCGGGGAAGACAGCAGCTACGAGAATGATGCCACCACGAGGAGGGTTTCGGGCCAGGCCTACAACACGCCGGCTGTGCGGGCGATGACCCCGCGGCCCCCGCTCCGGGCCAGGGCCCGCCGTGGGGCCCCG